AAGCTGATTCACTTTAAAGAGAACGAGTTTTTTTGCATACTTTTAGTGACTATTCCTTTCAAATATTACTTGTATGAAATGGAACTTCTCAGCCTCTATTTCCTCTTCATTGCTATTCTTCTGAAGTTAAATATAAACCAAAATTGTTCTATATTTCCCGTCATCCTGCTTGATTGAAAGTATTTAGTTACTATACAGATTCCTTGCAGATCTGTTCAGTTGCAAACGTTGAAAGAAAATGGAAACCTGAAAAAAAGTTAAAGAACATAACGAAGAAGATCTTCAAGTTTATCCCTGGCCACAAAAACACGTATACAAAACAGTTCTTATTGATTGACTTGCTATATCTTAATAAACATGATAAAACCATAGAAGTTTTTTTGTGTTACAGATATCGGCAGATGATTTAGCAAGTCCATACTCTTCAAAATTTTTCTTCGATTATTTTAACAGTAAGTTCCATACGCATGTATTAGGTTGTCACACGATTATCCGTGATTTTCTTCAGTTCTTGTTTCCGTGCACTTCTTTGGAATTTTGACTAAATGCTGTACGCTGTTTAAAGTCCCTCTCCTGCTATACAAAACCTCGTAACCCTTACTTCAAGATTAAAGACTTTGTACCGACCTTTGAATTGTGAAATGTAATGTCAGAATGGCAAAAAAGAGCATTTCAAACCTGTTGTAATTCGCTCTTCAAAAAAGACCAAGAGTTCTAGAAGTCGATGATTTTTGTTTCAATTATGGGGACTTTTGTGTACAGTGCTGCTAAAAAATGTTTCATTAGGCTTCAAGATACTCCAACACCTGTAGCTGATGAAAAAGATCATTTGAAAGAGACTGCCCCTATATCTTAAGATCTTGATACAGAGATTATCATCTTTTCCGATTATTTTCCAGCCTAGGCCTCGGCACGAGGTCACCGATTGAACCTTACGTGAACGAAAATCCGCCTGAAAATGCAGGAAATTACGAAGCCCCCTTTGTAACCTGTACAAACACGTGCAACCAGGACAAGCCTGCGCTGCCGTATACTTGGATCGTGTTTTTTTCTCTAAAGAAAAACAATTTAGGGCCCCAACAAGGAAGGGAGAAAGTGCTGTGATCTGAGTATCGCGCTGTAAGTTGGATCAAGGGTGCACAAAAAGTGTTTGCTATAAGGAACGTGAAACTATGAGAAACAAAAGTGCTTGCCAATCGGAAAACTGAGGTCTCCCGTAGGTCTCCACCGGAGACCTAAACCAGAAAAAGTTAAGGCGATTTTTTCATTCTTATAAAATTTTAAAGATTTTCAAACACTTCTTCTACTCCTTGTTGCCCATCTTCAAGCCAGTCTTCGTGGCAGTTCATTAACTACTACGAAGACCTGCCTATTCGCTTAAAAAAACGGCTTTGTCTGAATT